ACTATTTTCATAAAAAATTAAAAAATTTCTAGAATGATCATTTCACATGTTATTACTTTAGTTTACTGAAAGAGACTTTTAAGTCTCACTTAAGACGATTAGCGGATGATCATAATTACTTTCAATATTTTTTGAACATGTTTAGTAATATAGCCTGATCGGGATATATATCTCGATTCGAATCTTGATTATATCCCGATCAGGATTTGTAGCCCAATCGGGATAATCGTATAGCCCGATCGGGATATAAGTCATGACTCCGCACTGACAGGCGTTTATATTCAAAGAATATTTTTGATTAATTCAGAATACGCGCCTTTTTCATAGGTATCATCACAGCCATTATTTATCGATTCATTTTTACCACTTGTAAGTGAACCTTTTTGATTAACTAAAGAATAAATAAATAACAGTTTTAGAGAATAAAGCCATATTTCTTAAAAATGACATTTGTATCAAACCTTGTTTCGATGGCGATGATTTACTGTTCGAACTTATTGATTGTTGATTGTCCGTTGATGATTTTTGCAGGAATGATGGTATATTAAGAATTTGCTAGAACAATAAAATAACGTTGTTAACTATTCATTTTCAAAATTAACATGAAACTCATACCACACGATATTTTGTTGAACATTCATTTTTTCTTGTCCAACGAACAAAATTTGTTAAACGATAGAAGCACACGTGTCCTAAAATAATAATCTAACAAGTATATTTTTATCTCTATTTGCATCTACATACCATTTGAGCCACATAAAACGGCTGAATCAAGCCAGTCGGAATAATCAACACTTAAAACATGATCAGGTGTCGGTTGGAAATAAATATGTTGTGGATGGCTATTGTCAATATCGGCACACGCTAAATCAGCACTCATTCGAGAAAATATCCTACGTACAAATATTATAAATTGTAAAATAACCAACAAAAAAAAAATGTACCGACGGTGTAAATTTGTTCACACATAATAAGTCATCGGTCAATGTTCGTACAGTACATTCAGTTCCACTACTTTCAACATCAATTAGAGGTTGATGACTATCATTCATATCCCAAACACTACAATAAAAAAACATTTGTCAGCGTTGTCCTGTCGGGCAAAAATGTGAAAACTTTTATCTTTAGTTTCTAAGAAATATTGATAAAATATAGTAAACGCTAATACCGCGGCAGAAAATCAATTCAAAATCGACAATAAATGGCTCACGTTTAAATTGCGTTTTTGTTTCTGACTCTCTTCATATATTTTTCTAGAAAGTACTTCATTCACTCCCAGTTAACCTTTATTCAATAACGCGTTTCTATTAAACTGTAGATCTGACGAAAGTCACATATATAAGTCTAAATCAGCAATATATCTGCTAATCTCAGGCTCTATAGAGAGATGTGCCACCAGATATCAGGAGGGAGAGTGTACCGTGTGCATCCCGGTCCACATTAAGCAGAAAAGCTGAAATGCCTTTTTCCCAAATAGCGGGAGATGTACATCAATATATGAGCTATTGAACGGCATTAAATGTTTGTTTCATGTGCAAAAAATGCCTGAGAAAAGTCACAGTCAAAAACTAGCCCTAAAACACATGGGCGAGTGGTGAAAAGGTTTCTGTTATGGTAGTCGATAAACTTCAAAACAAAACGACATAGATTCTCAATCTAGAGATCCTCAGCTATGACCTAGTGAACAAGTTTCTCTTTTGAGTCAAAAGGCGAGGAAAAATAATAGTAGGTTTCAAACTAATGAAATTTCTGAAAGCATAGGTTTGATGCACCTTCCTAAATCTTCAATCTTGCTCAAACTTCATTTGCTGCACAAAATGTTTTTGTCTGTGCTGCATCTATGATCTTAGTGGTGAAGAACGTCATCGTCCTTGGCTCTCGCTATAGGTTTTCCAAAACCTCCTGGTTTCTTCAAGTAAAATCTATTTTCTCAGTTCAAGAACACTTTTAGGACAAAATAAGGTCGTATTTGGAATTAACACGCAAAACTGCAGCGAGAAGAATAAACGGAAAGTGCAAAGACCGTAGTCACTCAATAAAAAACCTTCTATAAACTTCAGCCCTCATTTTTCCTTCTTATTAAGGAAAAAGTGTGAAAAGTGTGAACACCGATCAAAATACTGCTTCTAAAAACATACAGGTTTTCAACCTTACCTAAATCGTTTCGCCATTCCAGAAACTGTCATAACAAAGCTATCGGATTCATTTAAAAATTTCACATCTCGAATGGGTGTAAATGATATTTGAATTGTACGTATATAATTATACATCGACCCATCATAGAAAAATGTGAATCCATCTAAATTGTCCTTCTACTGAAACGTAAACGACGCTCGATCATATCGTTGTTATGCATGTTTTGAGTTTCTCTATTTTGGTTATTTTTTATTTGCTACAAAATAAGACAGTCCAACTAATAATTCTTTTTCTGATATTGCGCCAGCAGAAGAACGATCATATAATTCTTGCATTCGTCGTTCAGTCAATTTTTTCTTTAGTACTGTTGGACGAGGTGTCATTCCACTTGATATTTGTATAATAATATCATTTACGGTTGTTAGATCCGGTATACGTTGTTGTGTATAAGTAATTTATTACTGAACAAGATGATCTTTACATAAAATTAGGAGCTATTTATACCTGAGGTTAAACGGAAACGGTGGGTTATAACCCAGAGCTAAAAGAATAC